CAATAATTTAATCAAATCTTTTTTTATTTTTTTAATATGAAAAATCATCGACATAATATTTTTTATTTTTAATTACAATAAATTTCATCAATAATATATTTTTTAAATGTAAGTATTTTTTTGACATATTTATTTAATTTTATAGATGTAAGTACTTTTTAATTCAAAAAATGCTTAGGATTTAATCGTTCAAAATATGAAAGTCCATTATTCTTTTAAAAAACTTTTTTCGTTAGTTTATCATATTAACCATTTTATAGGTCATAAGAATGTAATTAACAGGTTTTAGAAAATCCAAAGAGTTATCTAACAGGTTTTAGAATGTCCAAAAACTTTTTTAAAATATACAAAAATTTAATCATTTCAAACACTAAAGTCTATTAAATTTTCTTATACTTTTCCCTGTATTATTCTATTATCAAGATTTATTTTAGAATTAAAAGCATGAAACATATGTTTTAACTTAATTTTGTCCATTCTAGAACAAAATCTAAGATCTTGACTAAAATCCAAAAATGATGACAGCTAAGAGCAGGGTCCCACCTTCAACCAACCATTTTTGCTATTTGATCCATGTGCTTCTCTCGTTCTTGGACCACTTTCATCTTCCAATTATAAATTTCGGCTTCTATTTTACATATTTAATTATATTAAACTAAAAAATTTAAGTTTTAAATAAATATATGATATTGGCAAAATATATGTATCACAAGGAATTAACTTATAATATGGTCACATTAAAATATATTGTTTATTCTGAATACATTACTTTAAATTGTGGACTAAGTTATTAATTAATTAAAATCATCCTAACTTCCACAAGTTTGTATATATGTATATATATTTGTCTTTTTTCAGTTGTAATGTTGTTGCTGTTTCGTTCTTTTGATTATGATATTACCATGTGATAGTTGTTCTGACAAAATACAAATTGGAACAGGTAGGTGGTATTTGGTTCACTAAATGGAATTTGATGGAAATAGAATTCATCAAAGAAATTTGACTTTAAAGGAATTGGAATGAAATTTGACTACACATTTGTTTGATATGAATTTGAATGAAACCTCTCAAAAGAATTGAAACAATCATCTTTGTTTGGACTATCGTACCCATCGCCCAGCCCACACTCTACCAACCACCATGTCACTACTGTCGTCTTCACAGTTATCATCCCGCCCTGCCCCTACCCAAACCCTGCCCACCACCCCAACCCTACCAACCACTCCTGCCCCATCCTGTTCCATAGGTGGGGGTTGTTAAAGGCAGGCATGGTGGGGCTAGAGTGGGACAGTATGGTAGGATGGTAGTTGTAACAATTACAGTAGTAGGATACTGGTGAGGCGGGTGTGGATGTGGAGGCAGGGCGAGACGGTGGGGTGGGTAGGGGTAGGTGGCGGAGTGGTAGCTGTGACGATGATAATGGTGGGATAGTGGTCGGGGCAGTTGTAACAGCGACAATAATGGTATGGTGAGGGGGGTTAGGTTAGGGGCGTGACAGTAAAGGTTGTAGCATGGTCGTAGCAGGGATGTGCAGTGGGTGACCGGGGGTGGGTGGGTGTGCTGACAACAGTAGTGACATGGTGGTTAATGGTGGGGTAGGGTAAGGTAGGGTAGGGTAGGGTAGGGTGGGTGGGTGGCGACGATAATAGTGGTGTGGTGGTGGAGGGGTTAGGGATGAAGCATGACGAATAATAGTAGCATAGTCGTAGTGGATGGTGATGGAATTCATAGTCTCGTAGTCTATTTTATCTTGATGGATGTAAAATTGTTCGCGTACTTATTGATTTATTATGACTTGTAAAATGTAATTTTATTAATTTCAATAAAATAAAAAAATATATAAAATTAATTATATGATTTTGAAAATACCAGTTGAGAAGATGACAACACAATCCGGATATCGTGTTCACTTCCTGCCGACGACCAAAGTTTCCAATAACCAATCACACAACTACACTCGTATCTATATATACACAAAATAATGTCATGTGAAATGACTAAAACACCCTTCACTCTTTTATCCGATCCTCATCCCCCACTTTCTATCAATAAATACCCCATGAATTATTCTTCTTTGAATCGTATCTTCAATGGGTTCTCTTCCTCATGTTGTGGAAGACTGCTTTGGATTGGTTCAGATCTTTAGTGACGGCTCAATTCAGCGTCACGAAAGAGTAGATTTTCCTGCTTTTCCGGTGAAAGACGACGGTTCCGTCGTCTGGAAAGACTATTGTTATGACAACCTCCATGACCTCCATCTCCGTTTATACAAACCTATATCCACCACCGCCGCCGCCAAGCTACCGGTCATCTTCTACCTCCGTGGGGGTGGCTTCTGTCTTGGATCGTTTGCATGGCCACATATCCACAACTGCTGCCTCCGCCTCTCTTCCGCCCTGCATGCCATAGTGGTGGCGCCTGACTACCGCCTTGCACCGGAGCATAGGCTTCCGGCAGCCATGGACGACTCGCTTGCTGCTCTCAAGTGGCTCCAAGATTTGGGGAGAAACCCTAAAGGTAGTGGTGGTGACGTGTGGCTTGATGATGTGGTCAACTCGTTTGACTTTGATCGGTTTTTTATAACCGGTGACTCTTCGGGTGGGAACATAGCACATCACTTGGCGGTGCAGCTGGGACCCGGGTCACCGGAGCTGGCGCCCGTCAAGATACGAGGGTATGTGATGTTGGCGCCATTCTTTGGCGGGAAGGAGAGGACGAAGTCGGAGGCGGAAGGGTCGCCGGAAAGATTTTTAAACGTCGACATTCTTGACATGTGAGTTTCATGCTACTCTTCTCTAAGATTATATTTATACATGTACAAACATATTTTTATATATTTGATGGAATGAGAACGGGGAACTGTAGCTAAGGGTGTTTTAGGGTTTTTTAATTGCTAATAGTTTGGTGTAAAATGATTAAGTAATTAAGAGGTTTTTATGATATAGTGTAAAATAAAATATAATTGTTTGATAATTGCTTACAATAAAATTAGGACGTTGAATGGTTAAAGGGGACTTAAGATACAAAAATTATTCAAGGAATTTTAAAACTATTAAAAAACAGATTTTATTATTAAACAAGATTTACTTTTTAATGATTCAGATGTTAACTCTAAGAACCCTTACACATGGTTATTACTTATCACTATATAATTTTATGAAAAACTAACCAAACGGCGGTATGACAAGTACGATGGCTGCTAACTCATCTAGAATCATTAATTTCTACGAATACAAAGTCAGTGATACGTTTGACTTTTCAATGGTCAAAGGTTTTGTTTTTTTATGATACAAATATTTTACATACGGGAAGAAATTATAAGTTATTGTAGTCTTTATTTATATATATATATATATATATATAGACTTAAGATCATGTAAAACTGGTTTGTTTTTGTGAAACCCATAAAACTATATATTTATACTTGAAATTTTATGATAAAACACTGTAAAGATAAAAAAAATCTAACATTTACAACAAAATTTCAAGTATAAAAAAATAATTTCATAAATCTCAAGAAAATAGTTTGATCTGACGTTAATACAACATTAATTATATATATATATATATATATATATATTTTTTGTTTATTTATTTATTCAGGATGTCTCCATCAGTAAAAAGATTTCATGCTGACTTTAATTTTTGTATTTTTTTTATAAATTTTAGTGGCATGTATCCATAATCTAATGCATTTATCATGGATTATCCTTATCAAATCATTTGTATTTCTTTAATTCATTTTGCTTCTAATAATGCATTATTTTGACTTTTACTTTACAAAATTTAAATTTTCGTATGGAATTAGCATGATCGGGCGATCAAATTCTTGGTGGGTTCTTAAGAGATAATATTTTTGCTAGTTAAAATATGAATATAAATAATAATATTAATGTTAAAAAAGTGGTTTAATTGACAATATGTAGTATTTTTCATAATTACGTGAGAATAAAATAAACGATCTTAAGCTTTATTTGTTTGACCAATGAATAATGAAAATGACAGGTTTTGGAGAATGTCATTACCGGTTGGAGACACTACAGATCATCCGTATGCAAATCCATTTGGGCCTCAAAGCCCAAGTCTTGAGCCCGTTAAGCTTGATCCGATACTTTTGATCGTCGGCGGAGATGAAATTATGAAAGATAGGGTGAAATTATATGCAGAGAGATTAAAAGAGCTCCGAAAGAAGGCACAATACTTTGAATTCAAAGGCGAACAACATGGGTTTTTCACATATGAACCTTATTCGGATGTTTCAGATTCGGTTATGAATCTCATCAAGGATTTCATGTTCGAACATTCTAGTTGACCAACTCGAGTCACATTAATCTTCATGTGTTTGTCTGATATGTCAAAGTCTTGTAAAAATAGTCTTTTTGCACGAGCCAATATATATAGTATTTTGCATGATTGTTTGGTCTGTATTCCTCTTGTAAGACTGAGTACTTGTATGAAATTATTATTATGATTATTAATGTTAATATTATTTATAGACCGAGTACTTGTATGAAACAGCCGGTGAAGCAAGAAAAAAGTATGAAAAAGATATCAAAATTGATGTCAAATTAACAATAATAAAGTGACTGTGTATTGGTGTAATTAGTTTAGCTCCAATTTTGACTTAAAATTGGAGGGAGAGGGGGGGGGGGGGATCTTGTTTTCTAAAGGTGGTTATGACCATTTTTTAATCACATCCATTGGATCATCTCAATCTAACCGTTTAAACTAGTTCTTCGGTTTTTTCTTATTTCGGTAATCTCTCCTAATGGTAATATACATATATGCATTATCTCTAAATCTAAAATACGTTCATGTCATGTATCATGATATAGACGAAAGATCGTGTGAGAAATGTAGAAGGAATCTGGACCATTGATCACTTTTAATCTCAAATTCACCCGTAAATCACGCTTGATACGGGATTTGATCCAGTCCGATGCATCTTGATGCATCTCATCCTAATGTACATCTAAGGGTAGAATTCCCTTCTTACGTTTCTCGTTAAATAATCTCAACAATAAAATATTAATATAAGGAGGTCGTTAGAAAAGTAATATTCATTTGAGAAATTTCACCATATTTCTGATTTCAAATAAAAAACGAATGGTCACTCACTACCCACCATTGATATTTACATTTTTTGTCATTATTTATGAATAATATTTAAAAATTAATAAGGAATTGAAGATATGCATGGTAGGTGCCAACAAATGTCACTTTCCGTTTAAAGCGTTTTGATTTATAAAATATTCATTTTAATCCAGAATATATCTAACATAAGATCTCATGTCTTAAAATAATTAGAAAAACTATATAATATTCTAATTCACAACATTTATCCAAATCCATTTATATATTCCTTCGTCTAAACCAAATATATTTATCAAATATTTATCGGGTAAACGTTTATTGGTCAATTATTTTACTGATTGAGCATAGAAATGATCGAAAATCTTACCAGGTAAGAAGGAAGACAAAGATTGAGAGTCTTACTCAGTAAGTAAGAGTGATGACCCTTACTTAGTAATGGTTTATTAGATGATGATAAATGTTTACCATCAATCCATTTTGATGGCCAAAAATATTACCCGATAAAATTAATGAGGATAATGACTTTTGACGACTAACGTCAGTTAAACGGCCCCTAAATCAAACTGAAGGGAAGATGTTAAGTGTAATCAAGCCAAAGATGGGTCCAAAATTTCTTTCGGTACTGGTACAAAATAATTAGTTTAATATAAAATAAAATAATTAATATAAATTAGTTAAAGTTATAACGTATAGAACAATATATTAAGAAATCATATCCAATTCTAACAATATAAGACATATTTAAAGATTTTTAACAAGTTTTTTAAGACGTTTTTAAAATAAAGTGTCACATTAACTATTTTATACGACACTATTTGAAAAAATGTCATATAAACACAATTGTTCCACAAACAAATGAGTTTACAGGACACTTATCACATGTCCTATAAAAATAGCTAATATGACATTTTATTCTAAAAACGTTGTAAAAAAATTGTGAAAACGCCTTAGAGTGTCTTGTAAACCTATTGAAACGCTCTTAGTAGGACACTTTATAGTTTGGTTTTATAAACTTAAGTTTTATAAAGTAGACGTCCCATAAACCGAATTTGTTGTAGTGATTATAACACCTTTAATAGTCGTAATTTGTTGTAGTGATTAGGACCCGTTTGCCATACTTGCACCCCAAGGATATAAAGATTGTTTATGTTGGTGTTGAAATTTATCTTTTGGATGATGATTGATGCACACCATATATTTGATGAATTGATGTTTTTTTGTAAATTTCACCTAAACAAGGTTTAATTCATACTGAAGGGGGTAAAACATTCTTCAGACTTGATTCAGAAGAAAAAAAAAAAGTAAACAGACAAATTTATCAAAACAGAACTTAATAAAATATTTGTTAAAAAGGAGATTTTTTTTAAGTATAATTCATGTGAGATTCTAACTTATTGTTATATGGTTTATATCTATTATTGTTTATTTATAAAACAATTTAACAAAAGTATATTGGTTTTTACATGTGTTATAAGTGATTGCTTGAGAATGTTTACTTAAAGTGTTTATTAAGTTAAGGGTTATTCTGTTCATTTTCTGTTAAAACCTGTATGTATATAGTTGTCTGTATTGATATAGTTGTCTCTATATTGATAGATAAGTTGTTATGCTGAATAAACAGTCTGAATGTAAGAAATGATCATTTTACCTCAATCTATATTTTACTTTTATTAAACTTTACACTTGACACAACAGACCCGCACCATTTGCATCACACCAAACACCACCATTATCATATGGTTCCTTTTTCCATTCAAGTAAACACCACCACCACCACCACCAGCTTTCTTGAACCTGCTTGGAGGAACTCCCATCACTCCACCATCACCAAACAGTTCCTTTTTCCTTTCCTGTTGGCTGAAACTCCACAGGAATTGACAACCTAGAAGAACAATCGAAAACCACAGCTAAAAATCGAAAACCACAATCACTGAACGAGATGATGAACAATTGACTGTTTGTAGAAAAATGAAACAAAGGAAATTTGGAGGATTCAATTGTTTTTTAGATGATTTTGATGAACGACGAGCTTGTTTGATTCAAAAATGGAGGGTAAAGTGTGTGAAAAACCGGTTGGCTGGAGAAAATCAACGGCGACAGATCTTGACAAAAGCTCAAGTTGAAGGAAGGTGAGTTGATGTACGGTGGTTTTTCTTCGTCGGAAAGCAAATTCGTGAACTTATCTTTCGCTACCGGAAACACAAAGAAATAAAAAACCTGTGATGGATGGTAGAAGCAGAATCAATGGAGTATAGGGATAGGAGCAATGATGGAGTGTTGAGGGAGAGGGGTAAAGAGGAATTTAATGGTTGAATACAAAGGATACATGTTTTGTAGCTGAGCGATTCAGCTATGGACTGATCAAATAAGTCCATATCGAACAACTAGATATGGCTGACTGAATAAGTCATATGGCTTATACAGCCCATTAAGCCGCAACCAAACACCACCTTATTCAAGTATGGTATTGGTAGCAAGGAGTTTTTAGTGTTTGGAAAAGGAAAAAAAAAGCATCTCATCTATTTTATCAGCTTATCCGTGTGGTACCATCATAAGCTAATCCAAACATTTTTTATAAAACTTCGATTTATTACAAGATAAGTTGATAAACGCTTACATAAAATTACATGAGTTGTTTTAAATAACCAATCCCATAGACCTCCAAAAATGGTGTTTTTTAAGGGTGAAAATGTATGAAGAAGAGATGATCCTGTTTTCCCTCTGCTTCCACAATTTCATCGAAAAACTTGATCCACCCTTGATTCTCCTCCATTTTTTTACATATTTGGTCTCATCGAATCTTCAATTTTCTTGGGGAAATTCCACCTCCAATCTTCAACAGTCATGACCTGAACTCCCTTTGGACCCTTGTTTCATTCGCTTCAAATCATTCAAGGTACCTTCCTACCCAATCCATTCATCTTCTAATCGGAAACTTTTGCTTCTTAATTAATCAGGGTTTCTGTGTTTGTGTTGTTACAGGGTCCGATTTTCGTTTTCTTTGATCCACAAAGGATTGATGGTTTGCTGGGGAATTAGAAATAGGGAAAAACTTGTTTACTGTTTGATTTCGTTTTCAAGGGGCAGAGGGTTGGGGATTAGGGTTCATCCGCATCATCTTCATCATATATAAACTGGAATTGTTTATTTTGTTGTTTTGACAAACTTTCATCCCCCATTTGCTCCGATCATGGAGTCCGATAGTATGCAGCCTTCGAATCATCTGACCAAAGGGTGTGAATGTGGTTGTAATTGTTGCGATCCCCGATTTTGTACCGGTACATGGATTCGATCCGTGAAGCGAAAACTCGATGAACTCGAAGTCGAGAAGGAAAAATTCATGATCTCGGGTATTTTGATCCCGCAAGTGGCTCATGTCGAGCTTGAAAATGAATGCGGTGTACTTCGTGAGATGGTTAACAATCAACAACAGAGCATTCACGATCTTTCGATCGAATTGGAGGAGGAAAGAAAAGCGTCTTCTTCGGCCGCAAACGAAGCCATGTCCATGATCTTGAGGTTGCAGCGTGTCAAGGCCGAAATCGAGATGGAAGCCCGCCAATTCAAGCGGTTTTCTGAGGAGAAAACGGCTCACGATCAGCAAGAGATTGCGGCATTGGAAGATTTGTTGTACAAAAGAGAGCAAACGATCCAATCGTTAACCTGCGAAGTACAAGCATATAAATACCGAATGATGAGCTACGGCTTCACGGAATCGGAAGTCGAAGGAGAAAAAGGTGTGATTACAAGCAGTAATAGCATCGCCGCAAGCTCGGACAACCAATTCGACTACTTTCCGTTTGATTACCCCCCTCTCAAATGCCATTCAAACGAACAACACCAAGCTAATTATCCCGAATCATCCGATAACGAAACAGTCGATATCGATAAATACACATTTGAAGAAACCCCGCGATCTTTAAAAGACATAGAACAAAGAATCAACGAATTGGAAAGAAGCCCGAAACACAGCCAACCAATCCTGGATAAACTGATCGTTGGTCATTCTCCAAGAAAGCCGAAATCGAGCAGGTTTTCCATGGATGGCAGCACTGGTTCGTTCTTCGCAACAATTAAAGAAGATTCTGTATCAGATTCACCAAGATTTGGTGGCAATATCAGGAAGATGGATTCACAAGATTACTCTAGCTTCAAGAAGGTCGATAATGGTTCAGAATTTGGGGATGAAATGAGTGATAGGATATATACTGTGGATTCTATTCATTATGAAGCATCGTATCATAATAATAATAATAATAAGAATAATAATCCAAAGGCAAACATGCCGATATCTGATGATTTTATGAGTACTCCAAAGGATTCAATGTGTCGAACTGATATGGATCAAGATCCAGAAGTGATGAAGCTTTATGCAAGACTTCATGCTCTAGAAGCAGATAGGGAATCGATGAGGCAAGCAATCATAAATATGCGAACAGATAAGGCACAACTGGTATTGCTCAAAGAAATTGCTCAACATTTGTGTAAAGAAGTCTCGCCGACAAGCAGGATGCCTGTTAAGAGACGATCTGTTCTTTCGAGGTTTTTCATCTTCTCAATATTCAAGGTAATTAATAAGAAGATCAAACGAGAAATCACGATAACAGCCAAATCACATGTGAATTCCCACTGAATTCACATGTGAATTCCCACTATATTCACATGTGAATTCCCACTATATTCACATGTGAATTCCCACTATATTCACATGTGATTACCGGATACGATCAATACAAAGGTATGCAGGCATGTGATTTGACTGTTCTCGTATTCTCTTATTTGATCATTTATCTCGTTTGAACCGAATATATATATATATATATATATATATATATATATATATATATATATATATGTAAGGTATTAGTTTTGTGCCCAATTGCCCTTACTGTACCTTCATAATCTTGTGAATTTTTGGTTCAGTGGATTGCATCAGTTGTCTTCTGGAGAAGGAAAGCATATGAAAGCAAGTGAGTTGATAGATTTATACATTTACGAATATAACAAAATCAATTTTATAGGACGTTGAAAATGTCTAATTGTCATAACAATCTACTTTACAAGACACTGTATATCTTGTATAAAAGTATTACAATAAGATGTTATGACAGTATTTGGACGTTCAGACAAATTTTTGTATTAGACTTTTTAAATAAAGCTCTTATATAACTGTTTTTTAACAGTGTTTTATGAACACATCTCTTTTTCAAACGCTTGTTTTTGCCAGACATTTTTTTAAATAATTTCATATAAAAGATTAATAAAACTTTTTATTTCAAACTTGTCGTAAATAAAACTTGTTAAGACACGCAAAAACGTCTTATCAACCTATTGTAACACATTTAAATAGGACATTTAGAAATATCTGATGTAATGTAAAGTCGATTTTGTTGTAGCAGATATAGTATCTTTTAAGTGTTGTCAACTTATTGTAACACAGTTTACTCAAATAAGTTGTTTTATGGTTTTATTTTAGGTATATGTTCGGTATGACTTCAAGGAATCCAGGGATGATGGTGCTTTTAGACAAAGGACCTCAGGTTGGGCAATGGAGGTGTCTTTCAAGAACACAACTTTGAACGTATTCATGTCAAAAACTCTGTATCCGTCTATATATGTTTTGATATCTCGTGGATTTCTAATCTTTATCTCACATGCACACACTGCTTCTTGGGTAGATTGAAATTTTCTTTCCGGGATAACTTCTCGTTGCATAATTTGGCTTGTGGTTTAGCTTGCGAATCGTTATGTTTTTCCCTTGAACTGGTTTTCTGGTCGATTAGCGACAAAGAATGTGAATACGGATGTAGGTCTGGTCGACTCGTAAGATTTGATGGAATTTAGCTCAAATGCATAAAATGTAACGTGACAATCTGCTTCTGTATATTATATTTTGCATATTTCGGTATTGATACCAATGTTGTGTCATCCTCAAATGTTCTATCCGTCATGGGGGATTTTGGTTTTTTGTCAGATCAAAACCAGAGGAAATAAAATATAACATTTAAGTAGTTTAATAAATTTAATTGCTATATTTAAAAATAGGCTTAAATTTCATAAATTTAAACTGGTATCGATCAAGTCTATAAAATTAAGTATAAGCATGCCTTTTCGTTTTACTTCTCTAAAAAAAATGCTACATGAAATCACCATCGTGGTCTCGACCTAGTTTCGTAAATATGTAACGGAACACCGACATGAATAATATTGACTTATTATCGTTATATTTGTATGTTTTGTTGTTTTTGTTACTTTTGAAAGGCAACATAACGAAATTAAAATCGAAGAATAATACATTGATGCTTCATTCATCGTCATATGTTCCGTCCAATCTGAAAATTATATGTTAAGCCTTGTAATTTTGCGAAATATATGTTTTGTTTGTACTTAAATTCATCTTTCTCACGGATATCAATGATATTTGTTTAAAACTTTACATCTTATGTATCAAAATAGAAGTTTTAAAAGTTATTACTCAATTTACTAATTTAGTTTTTTTAAATAAATACTAATTAGATATATTGATATAATAAAATATAAAATTTAGTACTAAATAGTGCACATAAAAATTATTGTAGTTAAATAAAATATATAAATTTAACTAATTTAATTAATTAATCAATATAAATAAAAATTAGTATATTTAAACACTATTGAATAATATTATATTTAGTATTTTCAACAACTCTTTAAATATCACCTACTATGGGAATGAGGTGACGATGGGACAGGGACCTCGATTCTCATCTCGGTATCTGATCCTTCATCTACATCCCCGTTTCTGTTTGGGAATATGATCATATCCGCAATCCCATTTCTAACGAGGAAATGAACTTTTCTGGATTATGTAAGCTATTATAAATCAAATATATGAGACACCAGATATGTTTAAATCTTACATAATTTCTATATATATATATATATATATAACATGTACGGGGTGGAAAGTGGGATATCCGTCCCCGGTTTGAGACAAACATGGATCCCCATCCTATCCTCGATTTAACAGGCAATCCTCGCCCCCAACTGGGGTGGTGGGCCGAGTTTCTCAATAGGTTAGGGTTCATTCACATGCCTAAATTCAAGTTCTTTTAAAACCAACGAAAAATTCTTATAGAAAATAAGAATAAACTATAAATTTGGTCTATGTGGAAAATAACATTTTTTATCATGCAATTTCAAAATTACAAGATGATCATTATCTATACTATATTATAAAGTATCTGATAAAAACTTTTAAAAAACCATTTTTTATACATGAAGTACTGTTTAATGATACATATTACTTAAAATTCAAAATTATAAGTAAATAATGCACAAGTACAACTTATTAAAACTTCATACTTGAATTTATGTAACTAACTACAGATAAACATAATCAAATACTGGATAAACATTTTATTTTAAATATAAAAAATCTAAAAATATAACTAGGATAATCATTATCTTCTAACAGAATACTTAATTATTATCTTTATAAAAATTAAATTATTAAATAAAAAATAAATTACTTTCTTATAACCTAAATTAAATTATAATAAAAAAAAGTTGAATTAAAAAAAATATACAACAAGACAAAATTTTTTAAATAGTTAATTTGATACTAATATCGATATGTTTTTAAAAAAAATTAAGATATCTTCAAATTTATATTTTATTCAAAAATAAAAACATTATCGTTTTTCTCAAAATCACATAAAACCGTATTATAACATCAACAAGGGGACATAATAAAACGAAACATTAAAATCGAGATGTATCTCGTTGCATTGCACAAGTACCCTTCTAGTGGTTTCCAAAAACGTCTGATTTTCTCACTTCCTCTGACAATTGTTAAAAAAATGTGTTAAATGAGTAATATTTTTCGTTCTTTTATCGATTTTTTTTATCTTTTACCAATCAAAATATATTTTTTTATTTTGATCTCTATGATTTTTGATTGGATAAAATACAAAATATCAATCAAAGAACAAAGTTGCCTCCGAAAAACTTAACGATCGTTACAGACGTTTTTATAAACTATGGTGTAATTGAAATCGTAGAGACAATAAAAGACGTTATTTTCAACAAACCATAGGGACCAAACTTGTAGTTTATTCAAAAATTATAAAACAACGGTTACGAAAACCAAGTCCTGTGGGGTGGTATGGAGTCAAATGCGGGTTTAGGGTTTCTTTCGCGGTAACCATTCACCTCATAAACCCTACATCTCTTTGCCTCTAAAAAAACACAACTATTCGGCAATCGGCAAATTTCGATCTTTACAATGCTTGGTTGCAGAAGCTTGTTAAAGCAAATCAAGAAGAGAAAGAGAAGAAAATCCCACAAATGTATTACCAAAAATCCTAAACGAAAAATCGAACAAGAACAAGAAGATTGTGCTGCAGAAGATGGATTCAGCTTAAAGGGTTCTTCACCATCACAGAACTATGGAGTTCAGCCATTGGGGAATTTCTACTTTAGCTCGTCTCCTCACAACTCAAGGAACACAGGCTTAGGTAACATTCAAACCCTAACTGACGAGCTTGTTCTTGATATTCTAGGGTTTTTAAGTGGTACCGATTTGGGGATTTTGTCAACTGTGAGCAAATCGTTTTATGTGTTCTGTAATCACGAACCTCTTTGGAGGAATCTTGTATTGGAGAATTGTGGTGATGGGTTTTTGTTCAAAAGGTCTTGGAAATCAACTTATGTTGCTACTTATCAGCCTTCTTTTGATGTTTCAAAGGTTGGATCTTTAGGGTTGAAGGTTAAAGATTTTTATTCTGATTATTTGTTTCAGAGTTGGCTTTGTGCCAATCTTGAGATGAAACATGAATGGCTAGATAGAGACAATGTCATTAGAAGAAAAGGGATTTCTCTTGATGAATTCATCTCGAATTTTGAGGAACCGAATAAGCCGGTTTTGTTAGAGGGGTGTTTGGATAATTGGCCTGCATTAGAGAAATGGGATAGAGATTATTTGGTGAAGGTTTGTGGTGATGCTCGATTTTCGGTTGGGCCTGTGCAGATGAAACTAGACGACTACTTTAGATACTCCGATCAAGCACAGGAAGAGAGGCCGTTGTATCTTTTTGATCCCAAATTCGCAGATAAAGTTCCAAAGTTGGATCAAGATTATGAAGTTCCACTCTATTTCAATGAGGATTTGTTTAGTGTTTTGGGGGAGGAGAGACCGGATTATAGATGGATCATCATTGGACCAGCAGGGTCAGGTTCGTCATTTCACATTGATCCTAATTCGACGTCAGCTTGGAATGCAGTGGTGAAAGGGTCAAAGAAATGGGTATTGTTTCCCCCTGATGTGGTTCCACCAGGGGTGCACCCAAGCTCGGATGGTGCTGAGGTGGCATGTCCCGTCTCAATAACCGAATGGTTCATGAACTTCTACGAGTCTACCAAAACCTGGAAAAAGAAGCCCGTAGAATGTGTGTGCAAAGCTGGTGAAGTGATCTTTGTGCCTAATGGATGGTGGCATCTGGTTATAAATCTTGAAGATTCGATTGCCATCACACAGAATTTTGTTAGCAGGTTATCGTACCTCCATGTACTTGGATGATTAATGATCCTTTCAGCAGCTATCATGCAAAGAAATTCTAACTCTGTTTGATTTGCAGGAGGAACTTGTTAAATGTGATGGAGTTTCTGAAGAGACCAAATGCCAGCAGCCTCGTTTCTGGAACAAGAGATCGGGTGAATCTACATGATAAGTTCAGGAATGCCATTGAAGCATCGTACCCTGGAACCATCGATAAATTGGTGCTGGAAGCCGAGAAGAAAAAGGCTGAGCAGGAGAAACCTTCTTTCTGGGATTCGGTAAAAGACTCCAACTCGGGTGCTTTTAAGTTCTCTTTTTAGAGTCTACAATCTCTTAATCGAGAAGTGCGCTGTTTGTTGTTGTTTCTTGTATTCGATTCATATACCCGATTGTTTTATTGATTCCATTGACTTCTTGCCAATATTGGTACATTTTTGCCAATCATCCTCTCTTTTTGTAACCTCCTTGTATTTATCTTTCAACATGGGATAACTTCACCATTTACTTTTTTTTTATTATGATTTTAATAAACAAGTAATTGATTAATTTTTATGTTAAAAAGTATACAATCTTGTTCAAATATCTATAATATATAACATTTTTCGTTCTATTAGTAAGTTTATTAATAAAATTTTACATTATATTTTACAATTTATATTATAAAACTAATTATATATAAAAAGTATCTCGCAAATTTTTCGACTTAAGCATTGGGTAGCTCAACTCGACTCGTTAGTAAGTCAAGTCGAGTTCGAGTCCGAGTCAAGCCTATTCTAGTCAAATGCTAACCAAGCTTTAACCAAGTTGATCTCAAGTAGCTCGCATCTCACGAGTTGTCTCATGTTGTTTACACCCATAGACAGACTAAATCTCATTCGAAAATAGGGTCTAAAAAACCATACAATAGAACAATCGTCTCCAAGAAGCGAGACGCACACAGATCTAACCTCTACACCAAAGAGTAAAACAATTGTTTTCATGAAGATCTCGAATTTGTGGAAGAAGGTAAGCAAACAAGTAGAAACTAGAAAGAACAAAGACCAACAAATGATGAACATAGAACAAGAAAGATAAGAAAAAATAACGAAAAATTGATATACAATTTAAATATAATGAGAATGCAAACCAAATAACATTAAAGAACTTTCTCATTCAATTGTAATGATGGTTAGAGGTTCAAGTTTGTGGGGAATGAACACAACATTTCCAAAACAAAATAACTTCAAACTGGTGAGAGGGAAGCCGTGTAAGAATCATCAGAGTATTTTAAGCTTTTCAAAAAGCCACGGCTCAGGCGACTAGAAACAACGGTGTTCCTGACACCAAACGGACAACTCTGTTCATGTGATCCTCCATCGGATGTGGCTTTGGGATCGGGCTTGTGGCTAACCACGTCAAGCCCAACATTCAAACCGATCGACATGGGTTCTATCACAAAACTGCAAAAGATTTGCCATTTTTGTAAAAGGTTTAAATGTCATTTAGGGTGCGTTTGGTACTCTTGACAGAACAGAATAAAGATCATTGTTCCATGTTTGACAAAACTTTTATCTCATGGAACAAGGTGAAATAGACCTATAATTTACCAATATAACCTCAAAATAAAACATAATATTCTTTTAAAACATCAAATACACCTCTCTTTATATAAACAACTCATTAGAGGTAAATTGGTCATTTTATCTGTTCTGTCTTGTTCAGTTTTGTCTTACCAAACGCTAAACAGCTAGCTGTCATGTTCTGCAAACGCACCCTTAGGGAATAAAAAACAATCAAGAACAAGAAACTCATCATACCTTGCCTCAAAGCCACCTCCATTAGACTTGATTGCATCACATACACTGCTGGTTATCCATGGAGGAAGATAAGCATCCTTGATTTCAATACTGTAATAGGAAGGGGAAGCTGAACCCTGATTAGGTTCGCTTGTAGTTGGAACAGATGTACGATCGATTCTCCTCACCTCCTTGCATTTAACCTGCGTACAAAGTGGGATTCTAAGAGCTGAAAGCCGCTATAAAAACTCGTTTCACAACATCAAATGCTATAAAGTACAAGCAAACCTCTGGTGCAGATATAGCAGCGTTTTCAAATGCTACCGGTGAATAAAGTAAAGGAACATCCAAAGTATTTAGAGAGGGTAAAAGAAACCTGGAAACAGAGAACAAATATGAAGATCATAAACCAGAACCAATATTAAAGAGACGGTTTAATTTTGTAATAAGTTTTATCTTTTACAGTTAACATTGTTCTCACCTATAGTTCAGCAGAAAGTCATATAACCCCTGTACATTATTGTTGCCATTGAACACGAGCAACGATTCCGGGCTATTATCCACATCGGATTGAGAAACTGTACGCCTAGTCTGCATAAATGTAAGGAGCTGATGGTTATAAGGGATTGATCATATGCAAATGTCTATATGGTTTATGCTAAAAAGCAGTACACCCATCCCTGCAATGAACTCAGCATAGTGTGGAGTTGTACCTTTCCTAGATTGTACTTTTCAATCTCTGAGAGCTCAAAGAGGTCTTCTGTAGTCACTTGCTCCACTTTAGAATGGCAAAGAGGCATAGTAAAAGAGATGTCCTTCAACACAGCAACAAATTAGCACAATGGTGGCAATCCCTCCAAAATATCCAAGATTAGATCAGCACAAACTCAAAGCATCAAAGTGTCAAGACTTTAGGTTTAGTTTTTGTAAAGATGTTAGAGTTTGGTGTTTAGGGTATGTGGATCAGGGTTTAGGATTTAAGCTGGTTTAGGGAAACTCATAAAGAAGATAGCAACAGTATCATATAGAACTTGAACACAGAATGATGAGACTTACTTGTTCTTTTAACAGTGACCTTAAGCTTCTTGTCGATTGGGATACATAAGCATTGCACTCACCCCTACTTCCAATGGAACCATTGCCGCTAGTGAACATCACCACAAACTGCCCAGTGCAGACTGTAAACTCGCAAGAAGATGCTTGTCATTAAAATACAGGACAAATGAACTTATGAATAACATAATAAGATAAGGCTTCCTTCCAATGTTGATATCTTAAAAAAAAAAAAAAAAACAATTAGTAATACTACCATAAAATAAGTTGCAAATGTTCTTCCGCAACATGACAAAAAGGCTTCGAAAAGAGGCCTCCCATGACAATTGGCGTTTGCTCAAGAAATCCATTTGCCCTACATGTTTATAAACTTATTCACGTTAAATAGAAGATGAATAACGAATTGAGAAAATAAAACAAGAAAATGCCAAAGATGGAACAAGCTTCTTGGCTATCATACCTTCCCCGTTTGCAGATAAAGTTAATGCTGATATGACTGAAGGAGGTAGAGAACTCTGTGGATGCACCCAAGAATATAAAGCTTTTGTATTGGAAATTTGGGCAGTTGAGCAGTTTCTCTTCTCGACAGGCCACCCATCCTGAGAATTGAACTGCCCAAGATCATTGAATGTGCCACAGCTCATCAATCTATGGAACCTAGATTACAGACAAGCTACACTCGGTAAATTTGGAATATAAGAAAAGATGAAAAATACTAAAACAATCAACAGAGTTGGCTCATGAACAAACCAGAAAATGTAAATAAAGACATGGAACTACAACCACCAAACTAGAAACTGGGGTACATACCTATAATAGTTTGTTCATCACTCAGGGATCCCAATTCATTTTAGACATGGTTATAATTTATATATAATACAGTGATTTCAAACTTATACTGTATCTTTTTACTTTGTAAGAACTCCAAGGAAGCAAATAGAAAGTTGTCCAAGTGATGTTATACCAATTTACTGAAGATGAAGCAACCACACGCATGCTTGTTTTCAATGTGAAATCTAGTGGAGTCTTCTGGCTAGGAATATGAAGTTCTGAGCAAAATTTTGCTGATGCAGAATTTGTATTTCCATCAAAAGATTCAGTGGGTGAAACTGAGACGATCGGAGGTTCACGAGCTGCAAGTCCTTTGAAGGCTTCATCCTGCGAAAATATGATTCACATTTTACATATGCACATCATGGACTGAAAAAGGAAACATATGGGTGGCAAAGAAATATACCATATCAAGCGAAAAGCCGGATGACTTTTCTGCCCCTGCTGATAGCTCCATAACACTACGAAATGTGCTTATGTTGCATTTTTGGTTCATGATGTGAGACTGTGTAGATCTGAAACCTACGGTGTTTGTAGTTGAAGTTGAAGCGTGTGTATCTTTTGGACTGCGAAAACAATAAAACAGAATCAAGCATGCAAATTATCAAAAATAAGCAGGAGTACAATGAGCTGTACCCTGAACGCTGTGGTTGCCTTTCAGCAGCAAACTTCAAAGAAACAGAAGAATTCATTAAGCCACCATCCATATGATCAGCAGAAATGTTTTCCTGAAAGTGATATATAATAAGAGCAACTCAGAATTTGGAGGACATTTTAACAAGCCAGATTTTAGTAAATGGAAGCTTCAGCCTACACACTAGAATCAAATATATGGTAGAGTACTCCCAGATGCAGACCTTAACATTTTCCTTGCCAGATAGCATCTTAAGCCTCAGACTGTTTTTCCTACTAGGAAATAGTTCATCAACACGAGTGTCAATGTATCTTGGATTCTTTGATAGAACAGGTTTCATAGGCTCAGACGTTACTGCACTAGCATTCCTATAAAAAAAATTGTTATATAAGTACAAAAATAGACACAACTATGAAACAATCGAGGGTTTCATGTGGTGGGGGTGTTACCACTCTGGCGCTGGAGATTCATCCATGAGCTCAACAATGTTCTTGCGCTTCAACTGCTCACCCTGCCATTTTTACGTAAGTTAAGAAAATTAGCTTTCTCATATACATACTACACAACATGCCATTACCATTCCTCATTTCCTCTATCTAATAAAACATTGGTACCCACTTCTATGGTGAATAACACGTCAAACAGTTGGTTGTAGAGCAGTCAAGACTTGGTTAATTCATAAAAAGAATTTTTCTGTTTATAGTTACTTCATAAACTTCATTGGGAACTCGTGAAAAAATTGATGCTTGATATGATAATAATGTATGTTCTACATGAACTCACCAAATCATACCGACTTCCATAGCACAATGCTGAAGTTTGTATTTTTTTGAATTCTTAATCTATATGGTTCAAATATGCTTACTAGTTCATACATTATACGAGTGTTGTTTTCGTTGAATCACACTAATAAGTAGTCATTTATGTTCATAGGCATATGGTTTTTAAGTGTTCAAAGTGTGGAGGCCAAGTAAACATAGGACAACAACTAATTGTACATAATCATCACTAACCTAATTGGTATGAATTGCATGCATCCATGAAATAGAAAATATGCTGTTGCATATCTTCTGCTAAAGAAGGAAAGAGGTATTTCTTGGTCTCTAATATTTTTTCAAATTTTAATCACTGTATCAACACTTCCATAGTGATGCACTAATTGGATTAGTATTTTATTATGTACTTTTCTAACATCACATGGTTCTCCAGTCAGAAATTCTTTTTTCTCCTAAAATCTCTACTTAGTAAACAAAGAAGAAAACACAGTATCTGTCAAGGCATGATGAACATATGTTTGCATTATCATCTACCTGTCGTGGTCCACACTCTCCAAACAAATATTCTCTCAGTCGAAACTATCAAGAATTATATTGTTAATTGTATTGAATCATGTGTAACTTTGTCCAAATTATTTATCTTAAAATTCATTTCATGCTTCTTTTCTCTGGAACAATGGAGTAACAGATAAAAATGCAATTTAATTGCACATAGAGAGCTTGCCATACATCATAAAAGCTAAGCACTTCAATATTGAGGAATCGGAAACTGCCCTTGATTGTACATAAACCCATATAATTCAGCCCTTTTTCAACCGTGCATTAGTTTATTTGACCTAATTTATTCGTCCTTAATCCGCATCTAATCACAAGATCTCAACATTGAATAAACCAAAACGAAGGCAAGCAAATTTTCTCTCGTTTTACAGTATCGCGAATAGCAATTGCTTGAATCACTAGATACTTAATCCGTATCCAGAACAATCACATTATTTTCACAATTTCAAATGCACCGTAAGATAAACCATAAAATGGTACTCACCCTCAACTCAGAAGGCGTCTTTCTTTTGATTCCGTTGGTTCCCTTCGAAGAACCACCACTCGATCCACCGTCGATACTACAGGGAAACTGAAGAGACTTCGATGTCGGTATCATCGGTCCCCGAGTTGCTACCTTGGCCATTTTTACAAATGCAAACTACAACCAGAATCAACCCTAAGTTACCGATCTATCTCCGGTTGTTCCTTATCGATGTTTGCCCTGAGAACGAAATATTCTTAGGGCAAAATCTGACGGTTTTCTTGAGAGCAACGAAAACACAAGATGTGGAAATGGAGAGTGATTGAAATTTTATAAAAGCGGGATTTGAGTGTGTTGGGCCTTCGTTTTTGAACAGTTTTCGATTCCCTCCCTCGGCCGACTCTAACGCCGTTACTAACTTCCGTTTGCTACTTTCGAAGTTTCACAAATTACCCCAGAGAGTATCTCCATCACATTTACCGTAATTTCTACAAATTAAAAATCAAAAGTCAAAATTTTCAAAACAAGAATTATATTTATTTTGGAGAATCCAACACTAATTATAACTAAAATGGTATTCGTGTAATGCAACAAAATAAATTTTTATTTAAATATATTTAGTTTTTATTATGTCTTTATCGATATAATACGAATTTATGTTTTTTAAGAAAATGATAATGTTCTTATTTTTGAATGAAATCTAAATATAAAAATATCATACATAATTAAAAAAAATTATTGATATTAGTATCAAATTAACTATTTAAAATTTCTTTTTTTTTTGTATTTTTTAATTCATTTTTTATTTTTGGTTTAATAATATAATTTTTTTATAAATATATTAATTAATTATTTTACTATAACTTAATAATTATCCTAATTATATTTAAAAAAAATTATATTTAAAATGAGATGTTTATCTTCTAGATTGTATTTACCTGCAGTTAGTTACACGAATTCAAACATAAAACTTTAATAAGATGTACTTAAATACAATTTACTTGTAATCTTGAATTTTAAGTAATATGCATCAGTAAACGGTATTTCATGCATAAAAAATGATTTTCAAGAGTTTTTGTCAAATATTTTATAATATAGTATATATATATATATATAAATATTTCATTTATTTATTAAAATATTATTTATCTCTCTAAATATTTATTTTCAAATTTCCCTATTGCTGCTCTCACATGGTAATCATTTTTGAATGATCTCCATATTTGGAGAAAAAAAAATTCTCTCTCCTACTTTCTCCATTTTGGTGATCGTTTTGCGGAAGCTGTTAAAGCAAAATATTAGCTCAAAATCTTTTTTTGCTTTATTTTGCCCATTTTGGAGAAGTTGTCAGAGATTTTGAATTTGCTTACATTCAAGTCGAAATCTCCATGAATACAACCTATCTACCCCTTGTGGTAAAGAAAATGTCTACATATATCTAATCCCTCTAAAGTCTACACTTTACTTCCAAATAGATATACACAAGGCTTGGGGGTTTTCAGGCTCGGGCCTATACCTTTTGAAGCAAAAAAAATCTGGACAATTTAAAATCCGGATCAAGTCAGGTTGGGTTTTATGGTTGTTTCAGACCATGATTTTTCAGAATTAATCAAGCTTTTCACTGTTTTTACATATCAGGACCATGAAAGAAATTAACTTGATCAGGCTTAAAACCTGAGATCGAATTTACTAGGCCTGGATTTTTCAGGCTTCGTACTTCCTAATGAGTTGCACGTTTTATTTAATTTGGTTATAATCAAAACCAATAAATCGTATATGAACAAAATTCAACGTCCAACAACTCTGTTATTACTCATTTAATTTATAAAATAATAAGCACATATAAAGATGAAAACATATCTTATCCATTCATTAAAGTATAACTTGTATTAATAAACTTGACAATTTGATCTATTTTTTTATTTTTGTGTCGTAATAATTTTATGAAACGTGATGACTATAAGTTAAGGCAGACACACAGACAGATACAGATACATGCATACATATATGTATGTGTGTGTGAGAGTGATAGGTTTAATAAATATAAAATTATCCATATTAAAACTTTAAATCAAACATCATAATCAAAAGTTAAGCAGTGATCACGACTTTTCTCCAAAATAAATGTATGGATTTGTCCCGTCAAAATCACATTTAATGATCTGTTCTCTTTTTATTCAGATAAACTAGATCAAAATGTATTTATGCAACAAATTAATAAACGAAATATGTTAAGTACCGAGTCTCCAACTTGCATTGCCGTTTCCAACCATTTAATTCAAAAGAAGCAATAAATCCATATCGTGGTCGAGTCTACAACTATTTAGTTCATGCGATCAAGAGACTGATCAATAGGTACCATTTGACCATGCAAAGGGCAATCATAACTTTTAATATGAAACATATACATAAATATGCTGGGGAATTTCAAATAAAAACTATGTAATTCTTACAAACTTTACAAATCTAATCTCAACCCTTGATTTTGTTTATTTTAAAATTTAGATAAGGTTATAAATAAGGTTGAGAGTAAATCCACGTCGTTTATTATCTAAATGTATGGTTGAGATCGGTTTGTAAAGCTTATAAGAATTACATGGTTTGTATTAGAAACTCCCCCTGCATATATGATAGTAAATTAAATTGGGTTGGGTTCTAGTGAAAAGAGAAGTTATGATAAAAAACCGCAAGAAAAAATCCTCACCTTGGATCAATTCTAATGGAATGTCAACAATAATGAAGTACACTGAGATGCACCGAACCAAATCTCTTATAAAACGCAATTCATTGTTGGCATGAGATTAAAAGTGATCAAGGGTTTAACTTTACTTTTCACACAATCCTCCGCCATAGTAGATAATGGAATTTGAATATACATAGTACGTGCAACAATTGAAATTAAAGTTATGAATGATTTTGATGTGGAGATGAAGCTATTGGTTTTCCGGTGAGTTGTTGGACGGTGGTCATGAAGTCGTGGGGGAGTACATGAACGACCTTGGGCGACTGCAGGTAAACTATGACCGGAGATTTATAGGCACGACCACCTTGAACCGCGTGTTTATGACGTTGATGACTCGTGTTGTGATCCTTCTTGTAGATTTTGGAGGAGTTGTGCTTGTTTATCATCAGAGGTGTGGGCTTTGGACCATGAAGATGCCTGGAGGTGTTCATCTTGGAGGATATATCGATCTTTGATTGTTTTGTTGAATTTGCGAAGTGAGTGATATATATACAGTAATGATGCAGGTGGGGTACGTAATTAAGACATTGAAGAGGCCAAAATTAACCTGGTCAAATATTGAACAAGTCTTTATATATATATTATATATATACATATATATGTTTTTATATATATATATTGCATGATGAATTGCCGGCTATGTTACTTAGTTAGTTCACCCATATAT